ATATTTTTTATCTCTAATTGATTTTTAGCGCATGCGCAGTGTGAAAAAATTATCAATTAGATATTACATTATAGTATAATAATGTTAAAATTGCGTGATATAGCTAAGAGAAGCTTTATGGGAGAACCTAATAAAATAGCGACTGCTTTTGCAGGTTTTGATAATAGTTATCAGTTTGATAATCAAATTGTTTTAGTAAATTTTAATGCAACTAATCTTTACCACCTATTACAGACAATTGTAAAACGTGAGCTCGAAAAACACAAAAGTATCAGATTATTTGTGCAATATCATGTTATATTTTCAAAGTTAGTTATAATGGAAGAATTAACTAACAAGGAAATTGCAGAACCTTATATTAACGCAAAATCGAGACGTGTTTTGCTTGGGACTGATCTGTTATCACTATCTGATGAAATACACCAAGAAATTGGAAAAAAAATAGAGGAATTTAGTCAATTAGGTTCGGGTTGGAAGTTTGAAATGATCAAAGGAATATTGTTTCACACGATGAAATATAATGTATTACGAGGTAGTTCATACGTCGACCTGCCACCAAAAATAAAAAGTAAAAGATGTTGTATAAACATCAAAAACGTAGATAACAAATGTTTCCAATGGGCTGTTCTTTCCGCACTATTCCCAGCAGAAAAAAACGCTACTCGTGTTGAAAGGTATATCAGTCATGTGTCTAGATTAAATTTTAAAGATATTAACTTTCCAGTGGCAGAAAATCAAATACCAAAATTTGAAAAGCAGAATAATGTTTCAATTAACGTTTTCGGACTAGATGAAAAGGAGGACGTATATCCGAGATATATTTCAGAAAAAGCTTCACAATCAACTATAAATTTACTGTACTACAAAAATCATTATGTTTGGATTAAAAACTTTAACGGACTAGTTGGTAGACAGTACAATAAGGATAAGAACAAAAAGTTCTTTTGTTACCGCTGCTTGCATGGCTGTACAAGCAATGAAACATTACAAAAGCATTTGCAGTACTGTAGTGATGTGCAAAGAATAACAATGCCATCTAAAAAAGATAGTGTGTTACAGTTTGTCCATCATAATCACAAACTAAAAATTCCTTTCATCATATACGCTGATTTCGAATGCCTACTTCAACCTGTACTTGGTGTAGAAAATAATCCTAATCAATCGAGTACAAGAAAAGTTCAAAATCATGTTCCGTGTGGAGTAGCATATAAGGTAGTTTGTTGTACTGATTCTAGATTATCTAAACCAATCCAACTCTATCGAGGTAAAAATCCAGCTGTTTGGCTTCTCAAGCAGTTGATTAATGAAGTTGATAATATTACTTATCGTTTGAAAAGAGTAACTCCAATGTTAAAATTAACACCTCAACAAGAATCTGATCACGAGCAAGCGAAAATTTGTTATATTTGTGAAAAAGCTTTTGATGATAACAAAAAAGTACGTGACCATTGCCATTTGACCGGACAGTATCGTGGAGCGGCTCATGACCAGTGTAATTTAAAATTTCACGCTCCAGATTTTATTCCAGTTATTCTTCACAATTTTCGAGGATATGATAGTCACATCATCGTAGAAGCTTTTGGTGATCCTGAGATAAAAGCTCATCTAAAACTCAATAATGTCATCAAATGCATTCCAAATAATTTTGAAAAGTATATGTCAGTTACGCTAGGTAAATTACGTTTTATTGACAGCCTGCAGTTTATGGCAGCCTCGTTAGATGAGCTAGTAAAAGGTTGTAGTAAATTTAATAACCTAAGAGACTGTTTTGGAGATAAATTTAATCTATTAGCTAAAAAAGGAGTTTTTCCATACGAATATCTCGACGATTGGAGTAAATTTGATGAAACATCTTTACCTGACAAAGACAAATTTTACTCACAACTTAAAAATGAAAATATAACTGATGATGAGTACAGGTATGCACAAGATATTTGGAAAGAGTTTGATTGTGAGACTTTTGGTGATTATCATGATTTATACCTGAAAACTGACGTGTTATTATTAGCAGATGTTTTTGAAAGTTTTCGTGAAGTGAGTTATAATAATTATGGACTAGATCCTTGCTGGTATTATTCTGCCCCTGGGTTGTCATGGGATGCTTTGCTAAAGTTTAGTAAGGTAAGGTTAGAATTACTGACTGATGTTGATATGTTCAATTTTATTGAAAAAGGTATCCGAGGTGGTATTAGCGTGATAACAAAAAAATATGCTGAAGCAAACAACAAATACCTGAAACAGTATAACCCTGACCTTCCTTCGAAGTATATAATTTATCTAGATTGTAATAATCTTTACGGTGGTTCGATGGCAGAACCAATGCCTTTTAGCGGATTTCATTGGATCACGGTTGATCGATTTCTATCAGAGACAGAAAAAAAGATACCTGACGATGTTTCCTATTTCGTTGAAGTTGATCTTGATTATCCAAATTCGCTACACAAATTACATAACGATTACCCTTTCTGTGCGGAATCGATGGTTATAGATTATAGTTTGTTATCAAAAGAACAACAAGCGTTAGCATCACCAAGGCAACATTCCATGGTCAAGAAACTAGTACCAAATTTACTTGATAAGAAAAATTATGTTTTGCATTACAAAGTTTTAAAACAAGCAGTCGATGCTGGTCTTGTGTTGAGAAAAGTTCATCGTGTACTAAAATTTAATCAGTCGCCGTGGATGAGAGGTTATATTAACTCCAACACTTCAAGAAGAGCTGCAGCGAAAACAGAGTTTGAGAAAAACTTCTTTAAACTGATGAACAATTCCGTTTTTGGTAAGACGATGGAGAATATTAGGAAACGTGTAAATATTGAAATAGTTAATGATGTCAATCGCAGAAACAAACTTGTGTCAGACGATGATTTTGTGAGCATGAAAATATTTAATGAAAATCTTGTTGCGATACAAAGAAGAAAAACAAATCTAAAACTAAACAAGCCGATCTATGTTGGAGCTGCAGTGTTAGATTTATCAAAGTGGATGATGTACGATTTTCATTACACTTTTGTTAAAAATCAGTGGCCGGCTAGTAGATTATTGTTTACTGATACTGATTCACTCGTGTATGAAATTGTATGTGAGGACATCTATCAGGACATGTACAATAATCGACATCTGTTTGATCTTTCCGATTATCCACGTGACAGTAAATTTCATGACGACACAAATAAAAAGGTTATTGGTAAGTTTAAAGATGAAATGAACTCGAGCGCTATCAAATACTTTATCGGATTACGTAGTAAAATGTATGCCGTATTGTTAGATAATAATAAAATAACGAAAAAAGCCAAAGGTCTGCCTCGTAATTTTGTTAAAAAGTTTATGAAATTTGATGACTACAGGTATGCGCTTGATGGTGGTGTTAGTTTTATGAGAGCTATGGCAATTCGAACTAATCATCATAAACTCGAAACAGATGTCATTATCAAACGTGGATTGTATAATTTTGATGACAAACGCTATTGTGAAAATGGGGTAGATACATTTGCCCTTGGGTATTGTTATGATGATAGATCTATACTCGACATTATCTTTTCCAACTGAAATTTTATCTAAACTTATAAAATAATGCTTGAAAATTTGACAATGACAAATAGCTACAATAGTAACATCAAATATCTAATGATGGACGGTAAACAATTGACAGTTGAATTTAATAATGAAACATCAGGTATATGTTTTAATGGAACATGTGACAAGTTAAAACTTTCGCTCATCAGATCTGATAACAGCATGTATTTCAATTATCTCGAACAATTGTATCAAAAGTTGCTAGCGGAATTTAAAAACTTTCACAGCCCCATTAGCCAACAAAACTATACTAAACTCACAATTGATCTCGATCGGTCAAAGGTATATTTTATCAACAAAAAATATCCTCTGAACAAACCAGAAATGAAAGATCTGTTTGAGTCCCGTCGCTGTGTGAGTGGTAAAGTAAAATTTAGTATCTATAGTCGTGATAGTGAAATATTTTTAATATCAACAGTTGAAACATTAATCATTGGTAACGAGATATAAAATAATATCATTTTCATTCTAATGCTAGTTTAATTTCCACCTTGTTAACTGAAACGTTCTAATGCACAGTTTAATTTTCATCCTGTTATCTTGTGGTAAAACCCGTTTGCCGTCTTTAGAATAATTGTATTCCACACATGCGCTGTTCTAACAAATTAGTCACCTCTGTGTAAAGAGCTTATCACATTCCAACACCTGTTGTTTTGTTCGGTTACAAAATACCTGTTTACAGGTAGTAGTAGGGGGAAAAAAAGAGGTGGGGGAGGGTGAGTCAAAACCCTGTTTTATTTTGGAAAAAAAGGGGGTGGGGTGGGGGATAATTTAGGACTATAATTTATACTTGTTTGGAGGGTAAAAAAACAAAGTGAGTTGAAAACCTGGTTTTCCTCTAGGGTGAGTTGAAAACCTGGTTTATTTTGGAAGAAAAGGGGGTGGGGTGGGGGATAATTTATACTTGTTTGGAGGGTAAAAAAACAAAGTGAGTTGAAAACCTGGTTTCCTAATACTACTATGATTTACATTATTTAACACAGACTTGGATCTTTGATGCAAGTTCCAAGTCAAGCATCTCGCATACATCATGAAAAAGAAATAATAATATTGACTCCCATTTGTTCCTTCTGTTTATCTCACACAAACCTGCTTAATTTTGTGGTTTTAAACAGCAGTAAACAGCTGATCACGTTATATTTATGCAAAAACATTTCATGTCTGGATGTTAGATAATAATTTCCTATTATCAGTATATTGACCATAGGGTTGATCATTTATCATTCTAAAGATTCTATGGGGTATGCATATGGGGGCAAGGTTGGGAGGTTACTCCCCTCCCCATATCATCTCCAAACCCTTTTTTGCCTATATCCATCCCACATAGTCATATTATCCTTATACCAGGCCAACTAGTCCTAACACTAACCTCTTCATAATGAGTGCCCAGCAAGGCAGTTCTTGGTACCACTTTTACTTTTAGTAGTCTTGGTATCACTCGGCCAGGGTTTGAACCAGCAACCTCCTGCATCCAATGCAGATACTCTAACCACTTAGGCCACCAAAGC